TGGCTCATGAATCCAAATAGGCAGCAAATATAAGGAAATCTCGCACATTGTTAAGAAAGATTGAGTTATCATGTATAAACAATTTGGTTCTAACAGACCCACAAAAGATTGAGTTATCATGTTAAGAAAGACCTACTGTTTCATTTGTTTCTCATAACAATGTAATCAGCTAAATGCTTAGCTTCAATTAGATGCGTATTGATGAAGAAAATGCTTACTGTTTTATGTAGAATTAGATGCGTATTGATGAATATAGTTGGAACATTTATATTGATTATTTAGTGGAAAAAAACACTAAACAGCTCATTGGGGGTAAATTGGTCATTTTAATCAGTTCTGTCATGTCCTGTTATGTCTTACCAAACGCTGAACAGCTGTCCTGTCCTGTCCTGTCCCGTCCTGTCCCGTCCTATCCTGTCTGCGCACCAAACGCACAATAAACCCATCCATATAAAATTTGTATTTGGGTTTCCTTCTCTATAGTCCAAATAACTCATTCTTTCTTCTAATTAGCTTCTAATGGCATTAATTCAAAATCAAACCCCAAATGATGAATAATTTATGATTTTTGGTAAAGTTTTCAAATTTTCAGTTTATTAATTTTGTTTTGTTTTTTGATATAACTTTTCAATTTGGATTTTGTATGTTTATACTTTTGTAGTTAACGTTGACAATGATGGTGATAGACTAGTGGTGGATGCCTTGTGTGGTACTGGTGGGGTCTGGTCGTCTGTGACGGTGACGGTGATGGTGATAACGAACGTGGAAGACGGACATATGATAATAATATAATAATAGTATTTTTTTTTACACGGTTTGATGATAATATGTTAGAAGGGTATTCGTGTATGTATAGCGATAAATCTACATTTTATCTCTTTCGATTTAATTTATGAATTTGTGTGGTCTTATTTTTGTTCTATTTTAACAGAGCTCAATGTTTATCTTTTATTTAAACAAGTTTATTAATTATGAGTTAGTTTTATAAAGTTCAAACATATTAATAATTAGTAATAATAAATAAGTTGTAATGTTATATAATATAATAATATTGTTTTATGAATATATCTATATGTAAATATATATACTCATGATTGAAATTTAAAAAACTGGATTGATTGGTTCACGATAACGCCTTCACATGGGAAATCCTAACATCCCGTTGACTACGTACTTTCTCTTGAGCATATATACATTTACACAGACTCTTAACCACGAAGATGTCCATTTCTACATGGTCTACTATTTGAGTGAGTTCTACACTTTGAGAGATTACTGTTAAGTGAGTTTTAGATCTGATTTAATTCTCAGATATATTTTGTTCTTTGTCAAAGAGTTTAGATTTACTACTTGATTCTGCCCAATCGATCTGTGATTTGTTCCCTCGAAGACCTAATATTTAGTGTTGTTTTTTCTTATCCAGTTTTTCATTTTTTAGCATATATGTTTTCATCCTTTTCAAACTTCTCAGTATTAAGAGGTAATCACGAAAACGGTCGTTCTACTCTTCTAGGTAAAGGTCAGGTCTACGTATACCCCCTCCCCCTCCCCCAAAAAAACCTCTCCTCAAGACATATAAAAGATCTGATTTTACTTAAAATTCAACTCAGATACGGGATAAGAATAGAGTACACACCTTTCCGTAAAAGTCGCAATCTTCTGGTATCTAATTATATCATCACTTGTGAAGTAACTGCTATTTTGCTCGTAGCTTTCTTGGATTATATGCTATTGTCGATATCTATCAATTAGGATATGCTTTATCCTCCGAACATTTACATAAAAAGGAATGGTCTTTTACAATGTCAAAGACTGCAGTTGAATGTCTAGCTTGCGTTGCTAATACATTTGCTTAGACTATAAATAATGGTGATCTTAACCACAAGGGTGGTACCTGATTGGTTTGAGTTTTTGACTCCAAATGTCAAAAGTGTCCGGAGGTCTTTAGTTCAAATCCAAAAACGAATAAAAATCTTCTTGTGACCACGGAGATTCAAATACGATGACTCCAGATTACTCACAAAGCAGGTGATCGAAAAAGAAAATAAGAAAAACAAAATGAAATGGGCGATATCATGTATTAGCCGACAATTTTTTTTCCTCTAATACCAAGTGTCAATAGTTGTTTGATAGTTTATTGATTTTCTTTAAATAAAAAGTTATTTAACAGGAAATGTGATTTTTACTTTTCTTTTTTTTTTTAATAAAAATATATTAAAATTCTTAATTTCAATAAATAAATATCTAGACTATATAATAAAAATTTTGACAAAAATTCGTAAAAAACCATTTTTTATGCATAAAGTACTATATATTGATGCATATTATTTAAAATTCAAGATTACAAGTAATTTTGCGTAAGTATAACTTATTAAAACTTTATTTTTTAAATTCGTGTAACTAACTGTAGATAAACATAATCAAATACAGGATAAACAACCATTTCAAGTATAGAAAATCTAAAATATAATTAGGATAATCATTGAGTTCTAACAGAATGTTCAATTGTTATCTTTATAAAAAAATTATATTGTTAAATCAAAAATAAATTACTTTGTTATTAAATCTAAATTAAATTATAATAAAAAATTGAATTAAAGAAGTTACACCAAAAAAGCGAGAACTATTAAATAGTTAATTTGATACTAATATCGATTTATTTTTTTCAAAATTTTATGTTATCTTCAAATTTATATTTCATTCAAAAATAAAAACATTATCGCTCTTCAAAACCACGTAAAATCATGTTATATCGATAAAGACAAATAATAAAAAGTAAACATTAAAATCGAGATTTATCTCGCTGCATTGCGTGAATACCCTTCTAAAATATAATTAGGATAGTAATTGACTTTTATTAAAAAAAAAATTAATTATTATCTTTATAAAAATATTATGAAACCAAAAATAAAAAAATAATTAAAGAAATACACAGAAAATGAAGAAATTTTAAATAGTTAGTTTGGTACTAATATCAATATTTTTTTTTCAATTTTTTTATTATATTTTCATATTTATATTTTATTTTCAAGAATAAAAACATTGTGTTTACTCAAAACCACATAAAACTGTATTATAACATCGAGATAAAAAAAGAAATAAAACAAAACATTAAAATCGAAATATATATCGCTGCATTATACGAGTATCCTTCTAATCAATATTGATATATGTTTATCACACTAATGATTCATTTCATTTATTTTTGATGTATTTAAAGTTCACAAGTTTTCATTTTGTTTTCAAATCTATTACAATCAAAGCTTTTAGAATATAAAACCTTTTTTTACAGTAAAAAATAAATATAAATTATAAAACATAAAAAAGAATATTTTTCATTTATGGTTGGGTTCGGGGCCAGTTCTGGTGTTCTTGATACCCACAACAAGAATGCTAAAAAATGCCCCTATATCCATTCTTTAAGCAAACGAAACGTATTGTTTTCTAAAGGATTTGATCACCATATTCACGCTCTATTTCTTTGATTAGATTAGCCACTTAGTTGATGCCGGGATGACTTGGGCTTGTTGTTTATAGCACAAATGATTAAACCAAAGCTAATAACTCGATGCCCCTTGGGCTTATATGATGTCTTGTGCGTTCGCACGGGCTGCACATAGTCAGTCCCTGAGCCGAACATGGTTGGGTTAGATCACTAATAGATATTGAAAAGATTGAGTTAAATTGAAGTTGAAGACTCTGTAGGTGATAATCAATAATAATAATTTTTTTAATAAGAAGTTGTATTGGATGGGTTTCATCATTAAACATAGCTTTATACAACATTTGTTACATTTATTTGAAATATTATTTTACGGGTCTTATTTCATGCATTTAAAACTGATAAAAGAAAGAATCGACGTCACTTTTATTGAAATCTTCCGGCCTCAAATATTGTAAGCTTAAGAAACTTGTGAGGAAAAAAATATATTGGAAGGCAAAGTTACAAGGTTTATTACAAGATTCCCACAACATCAAAATATATATATGAAACGAACGATTAAAATACAGAAAATGTGTATTTTGTATTACGTTTACAATTAAAGGGAACCCATAAGTCGATTAATTCTCGTTTCCTAAGATGATGCTAATCATCTTAAGTTTGATGTTCATTTGTGTCGAAGCCATCAAACCCTTTTGCTAAAACAAGGATGCCTATTTTCCGTTCGTATTTAAAACGAAGGGACAATTCCATATCCGCCTTGTACCATATGATTCGTGGGGAACATTTGGTCCACGTCGACGTCTGCGTTGGTTCTTTTCGCAAAACGACCTTTGATCCTGGGTCTTGTTTCCGCATAAGCTTTTCTTGATGCATAGCGAATGGTTTTTTCAAATTTTCTTGTTTTCTTCTTCTCTCTGTACCTTAAGACTCTTGCTTCACGGTCCATTGGATTGAGTTGGGTTGGCACCTGAACCGGAGGGTTTGAAAATAGATCAATCGTCCCTTTCGACGGTCTAGGATGTGATAGTGAAGCATCGGTTCTTGTTGAATCAGGTACGACTCCAACTTCCAACGATGACATGGAAACCTGGACAATTACAATAAGCAAAGCTCGTCAATTGTTTATGGGTTCCATTTTCCTTATATAATGCATAGAATATTTAGACCATCTCCAATGAGGACATCATATACCAAATTTGATACCAAAACATTTTTAATGGTAATACTAAATCTTACACCAAATTGATGTAACATCATGTGAGAAGTAGAGTTAAGACGAGAAGCATAAGAAGAGATCTGGACTATCGATTACTTTTAATCTCAAACTCATTCATAAACCACGTTTGATACGGTATTGATCTGATGCATCTCATTCTAATATGTATCTAAGCATGGAGATCCCTTCTTACGCATCTCAATTTAACTCTCTTTTTTCCTGAATCTCAACCCGTGACAGACATATCTCTTTGCCTTTGAAATATATGAAAACTTTATTACTTTAATTGTCTGAAATAATTCATATGACAACATACAATTGGAAACATGATTAATTTAATTTAAATAAATGATGAATAAAAATCAATGTCTAAATCGTCTTTAACAAGTACACAATCAAGATTGTGATCGTAGAAAAAGGTAAACTAAGTTGAAAAGCGTTGAAATATTGCATTTAATCACGTGATTTCAGGTTTAAAAAAGTTTAAAGATAAAAAGAAAATCATAACTTTGAAACCACTACTTTTAGGGGTGTTTATAATAGCTCGTAAAAACAATTTATTGACTTGACACCAGTAATAAACAAAGTGTGTGGATAAACAATTTGTACCGGTATCAAATCGATAATAAATTTTTTTTAAAGAAATTAAACCAATTTAATTTATAGTAAATTGATAAGAGTTTTTTGTAAAAACAATCGTTTCAAATAAACAATCCCAAACATCCCTTTTTAATCATCTTGCAGTTCATTTTTGAAGACAATCAAAGAAAGAAAACATGATTTAGTTTTGGAGTTTCTTTTTATAAAACTTACACTGTGTGAAAGCGGAGGATAGCCATAACCACCGGCGGCGTGCGAGGTCTCATGATACTCCATTCCCAACTGAAACTTCTGGTGTTGGAAATCCTGGTGGTGGAATTGATGGTGATTCTTCTGAACCGGCACCACACTATCGGCGTCGCCACCGCCATACATCTTCTCCGCCGCCTTATAGCATTGTTGCTGCGGCGCCTGATCATCATTACCAAATTCCATAAACTCCAAATACTCATCATCACCTCCCTCTCCATTAAACAAAAACCCATTCTCTTTTCCACTCTGGTTCTGGCTATTCTTCGGCAGAGCATCAAACAACAACCACGAAGCTGCTTCATCTTCATCCTCATCATCAATGGCGTCCTCAGCTTCATGTGACAAAAACCCACTTTCAGATTCCACTCCTAACCCCATCACAGACCTGGGATCAGTAGCCTGAGGTCCATAAAGTGCGCCTGGAATCGGCATCACCGGGACGCGGTGGTGCCGGCGAGCAAGAGGGTTTGCAGAATGGATATCGGCGTCACAGGTGGTGCAGAGGGAGGCGGCGTCCGCCTTGCATATAAAAGCCGCCGGAGCTTGCTCACAGGCTTCACAGACCCAGACACGTTCGTGCTGGGAAGACTGGAGCTTGTTGGCGGCGTGGATCCGGGCGTCGCAGGCGGTGCAGAGGTAGGCGGCGTCGGGGCGGCAGTAGATGGTGCAGGGGGCGGAGCGGCAGGTGTCGCAAACGCGAGCCCAGGTGGTACTGCTTTTTAAACACAAAGTACTGCTTTGATCCAACATTGTGTGTTTCTTTCGGGTGTGTTGTGTGGTTCGTGTGGAGTTTGAGTTTAGTCCTGTGGTCACGATAAAGAAGCAAGGTAACAAGTGGGAGGTGGAGAGAATCCAGGAGATGACACGTGGAAAATATCTAGTGGGTGAGAAATGTTGGGAGGATTAGTCATAGTTTGGGTGGGACCCAACGCGGGGCCAATGAGATGTACGAAAGGTATTGTCGACTAGTCGACTTTTGGATTTCAAAAGAAACGAGTATAATTAAGGTTTGGTTTGTTGGAGTTTAAATTGGTTCATCGTATTTTAGTAATGTTTGTGGAATGTAAATTTTTAGAATGAATTTTGAAATTCATTAAAAAAATCAAATTTAGAATCATTAAAAGAATGGAACTTGTGTGTTTGGATGGAATGGAATTGTTAAAAGGAATTGAAACATCTCATACAATGGTGAATCTTTAATCAATGGAATTCAAATGATTCATATATTTTTTTAGAAGACAAGAATACGATCGAATTGAAATTCATCAAATAAATTTGACTTTGAGGGAATGGAATGGAATTTGACCATACCTTGTGATTGCGTTTGTAATGCATGGAATTGGAATGAAATTATTAACGGATTGGATTTTTTTGTTTGGTTCACGAAATTCAACTTTGAAATCGGAATTAAATATCAATAAATGACTTTTTTATGATTTTTGAATAACGGAATTGGACTAGTGATATCAATAGCTAATTATCTTGAATCGATTCCTTGATTACATGTATTGTGTATCAATCTCGTATAGATGGAGAAATTACGATAGAGAGAGAGAGAGAGAGAGCGTACCAGATGTAGATCGAACCAGAGATCAATTAGATGAGATGGTAGACGCAACGTTGAATGAATTTGGATTATGGAAGAAATTTGTCGGAAAGGAATTAAAATCCGAGGGTATTGCCGTGGAATGTAAAATCCATGAGTGAAGGAATTTATTGGAATTGAAAGGATTCCATCAGTTTTATTCCATGAACCAAACATTGTATTTGGAATTTGGTCAAAGGATTTGGTCGTTCCAATTTCTTTCAATTCCATCCAAATTCATGAACCAAACAGCTCGTTATACTTTTCGTTGAATGAAATTTGGTAAAATTGGAATCCATCTAAAGAATTTGAGTTCGGATGGATTGGAATGTAATTTGATGGAGTTTGACCACGGGTTGGTAGGAATTAGAATATCCATCTTTGTTTTTTTTTTCTTTTTTGCTTTTTTTGGGGGGGGNGGGGGGTTGTGACGATGACAATAGTGGCATGGTGGTCGATGGGGAAGGTTGGGGGTAAGAGTGGTAACTGTGACAAAGACAATATTAGCATGGTGGTCGGTGGGGTGGACGATGGTAGTTGTGACATCGACAATAGGAGCATGGTGGGTGGGGAGGGGTACGGTTGGTAGATGTAAGAACGACAGTAGTGGAATGGTGGTCGGTGGGGTGGGTGGTGCATTGCTGGAGGGGATGGGATTGATAGACATGACGATAACAATAGTGGTATGGTGATCTATGGGTGAGGTGGGGGTGGCGGGATGGTGGACGTGGCGACGACAGTAGTGGCATGGTGATTGGGTGGCGGGGTGGGTGACGAAGTGGGTGTGGTAACTGTAACGATGACATATGTTCAAACTCAATAAGTGATGGTTCAAACTCAACTAGGTACCTTAATAGTTCAAACTCAATTTAAGATTTTCAGATTGTTCAAACTAAATTCAAGTTTAAAGATTTTCAAGTAGTTTATATTCCTAAAATAAATAATGAATATTATACAATTTAATTTATCAATAATTATGAACGTCCATATCATCTTTCCTTTTATCGTTGAACTAGTAAATAAGACACAAGACTTGTATGCAATTGGAAAGAATCGTCAAGCTACTAATTACATACCAATACGTATTTATCAATTTTATATACAATCACTTCAAACTGACCGACCAAATTAAAACTTTAACTCCAAACTGATTAAATCGTCAATTTATTATGATTTCATGAGTCTTGAGTTGAACCTTATACACATGATTCCAGTGGATGATTGACACCCTACTGAAATCTTCATGAGGGTTTCAAACAAAAAAAAAAAAACACATTTAATAAACATGTGTATCACATTGGCCGGTTATGTAACTGTAGCCTACTTTCGTTGCCAACTATGTACGCAATTTATACCAATCATTGTATCTTTTTGGCATTTTTATTTCCGTCAAACTTGATTTCAGTTGTGTATAAATGGAAATATAGTTACACTATAACTTGGCTCATAAGATTTTAGTTACTTTAAACGACAGTATAACATAATAAAATGGACAACTTTTATTGCATGGTATACCGATTTTGGAAACGAATGGGGTGTGATTGCGACAATACAGAAGGGAAAGCGAATTCGATTGGTGGGGACTAGCGAGAAGGAGCACAATGTCGACCCGGTTAATGTAGACAAATTGCGAACCGTTTTCAATAAATGGGTCCATAGGCCACGTGAACCGGATCAGGGTCAGCCTTCGTTTCTGTCGCTTAGCTTGCTTGCGGGTCCCACACGTTTTTTTTTTATTACCTTCATACGTGGCAGTTGACTGTGGTTGCCATGTGTCAAGTGGGTCCCACCATGAGTCAGCTTCTTATGGTACTCAACGAATGGCTGTACTCCGACCACATGCATATATTTAGAATGCCCGCATGTTTTCCATCTTATGATGGCGCTTGCTCTTTCTTTTTTGATTTACACTTAACCCCCCTTTACTTTATTCACTTGCACTTTTAACTTTTTAGAATTTAAATCCAAGTAACAGCTTAAAGAACTTGATGAGAGTCACGTTTCATTCAGATAACTATACATAACTGTTTGGTACTGACTTAATGATATATAAAATAGCTTAAGTTTTTTTTCAAACATCTTCAAATAAAAAAACACACTTATTTCATCTAGTAAAAACTCTCTCAAACAAAAAACAGATTAATCCATACAGAAATTAATGAAAAACTAACCAACAGTTTTTAACGTATTCATATCATATTCGCTAAAAAATATTAACAAGTTTAAACTAAAGGTTTTTGTTTGGAAATTTAGTAAATCATGTCGGTTTTGGACTAAACACATACAGTTTTAATCTATAAGGAACTAAAATTCATATATATGGAAGTCGAGGGTGCAAGTTGCAATTAACCTGAATTCTTATCATGAAGCCGAATTGACTCTGCCTTTTTTTCCTTGGGGGCCATTAGAATTTTGGACCATTTTTTTTTTCTTGCAAAAGGTAAACTAATAAATTTCATTTGAATTTATTATTTTATTAATTCATTATTTCGTAATTTAACATCATTTATTAATTAAAAAAAAGAAATAAAATGAAAGGGTGGAGGTAGAACAGAAAGAGTTCATTTGTTGGCTCCAGCTGCATTCTTCACTGCATCAGTTGCTTCTTGTGCCTTTTCCCTCATCTGCTGTCCAGCCTACATACATATTCATTTCATTTCATTTAATAACAAATTATCAGCACAAAATAATAACAATTTAGTACAAAAACCGAAGAAAATTCGGACCTGTTGTGTCGACTCTTTGGCAGACTGTGCAGCATGGCTAGCTTGGTCCATCATCTGACTGCCCTTTTCCTGACAGCGGAAAAAGCTCAAGATTATACACAAACTCTTTTCGTGGTTTTAAACCTTTTTCATTTGCGAATAACAAAAGGATCGGGCTGGAGACACTGCATTAATTCACATATGAATGAGACAGAAAAAGATTTGAGAATTAACCTGAGCTTGGGCCTTGGTCTGGCCGGCTTGGAATTCTGCGCTCTGAGAGTTGTTCATATTGTATTTCTGGGATTGATGTTTTGTTGTTTAAACAAGTAGGATGGAAGTTGATGAGGCAAAGAGATTGTGTTGATCGAAAACTACCAATGGGGGTTGGTTATATATGGCTCGAAGATGAAAGCAACTAGCGACATGTGTGTCATTGTTTGGGAAACAGTTGCAAGAATTTCTCCATAGTTTTTGGCTACAATTAAGTTCTTCTGTGGAGATGGAATCCAGATGCAACTACACCACACCTTTGCTAGATCAGTTACAAATAACAGGAAGAAGTTGGACTTTTTCCTTACACTTGGCACAATCATGGGTACTTCCTATTTTTAGAAATTAAAGGTTCTTACATTTGGTATAAGCATGCATAGTTTCTATCTTTAGTGATTCCAAACACTTGAACAAGATCTCAGAGACAAGAAAGTCCAATGGGGTGCTTTCATTTATTTGCCTAATTCTTGGATTATCAACTTGTATTATGTCATGGGAGTTTTGGCAAATTTCGATTCGATATCACGACTAAAACACAATTGCATTGATCCAGACATTAACTGAAGAGAAATTTAATAGCAAGAAAAAGGTATTTCTTGCAACTTTTGCATCCTATGCATAATCTTCGGCTCGATGAATCTGTTTCAAGGTATTTCTTGAAATCAAGCCTCTTTCAACAGCCAAATTCCAAAAAGTCTGCAAAATGCCCTCTTCACCAGCATAACTAGCTGTGAAACTTTTGTGGATTTTCTGAGTGATCATCAATCTCTTCTTGTACATCTCATCAAAAATCTGTAAACCAGTAGTTGTGTCACCTGCTTTCAGGTAAGCATATGCCAAACTAGTAAATATAACACTGTCTCCTGATATCCCTTTATGCTGCATCATATTATACAACTTTTGAGCATGATCAACCCTCTCTCTCTTGCATAATCTCCTTATAAGTGCCCTGTAAACTGAAACATCAACGATTATACCCTTCTGATAAAACTCATCAGGTAACTTTACCAGCATCTCTTCGTTGCTTTGGTTGCAGTAAAGATCCACAAGCCATGAATATGTGCAATAGTTCGGAGAAAATCCGTCATTAAGCATAGTGAAAACAATCTCTTTGGCATTTTCCATTTCTTGAGCCTTGCAAAACCCGTGAATCAATGCCTTGTAAGTAAAGGCATCAGGCTTAAGTCCGGCATGCAACATTGTACCTCTAACTTTCAAAGCAGACTTCATATCTCCAATCTTGCAATAAGCATTAATCAATGTGTTACAAGTGATATTATCGGGCACAACCTTTTTCTCACTCATTTCATTCAACAATTTGTTCGCATCCCTTATCTTACCCTCTTCACACAATTTGCGTAGCATCGTGTTATAGGTAACAGTGCCAGGATATAACCCTTTAGCTTCCATTTCCTTGCGTAAACACAGAGCTTCATCATAACTGTTCACTCTACAATACCCGTCAATCAAAGTAGTGTATGTCACATGATTTGGAGTTGCGCCTTTGATTTCCTTAAACATTCTTAATGCCTCCCTCATCCGACCTTGTTTACAGTACCCATAGATCAACGAATTATAGGTTATAATGTCGGGATGTAAACCTGCTCTGTTCATTCTATCTTGAATACACAAAGCCTCATAATGCATACCTTTCTTGCAATACAACGATATCAATGTATTATAGGTAAAAAGATCAGGAGAAACACATTTATTCTCCATCTCACTCAACAATTCGTCTGCTTTCTCCACATCCAAAGACTTGCAGCAAGCATGAATCAAGACATTATAGATATGCAAATTTGGAACTATCCCAATCTTTGCCATTTTCTTGTAAAACTTCCACACTGTATCAGTTAATCTCTCTTTAACCAACGAATTCAACAGAACAGTACAAGCAGGCAAATGTGGCTTTAGACCATGAACCCTCATATGCTCAAAGACTTGAATTGCATCTTGGGTCATCTTTGAATTTGCATAGAATATCACTAACCAGCTTAAAACATGTGAATTCACATCTTGGTCATCGCAGGTAGTGGCCAGCGCATTTATAACCGCGGGTGAAGATAAAAAATCTCTCGGAGCAATTTTCTCGAGCAGTTGGTGTGCACTTTTGAAGTGTCTTTGTTTTGTGAGGAGGTGGATCATGGTCCAAGAGGATTGTAAAGAATGCTTGTAATCAGGGTTTAGTTCAACCCATTTGAAAAAATTCCAAGAGATAAAACAAAAAGACCCCTTTTGTGAGAGATTCTGAAGTGTATGATTGATGGTGTTCGAGGTAATAATCGAACCGATTCGGGGTTTTAGGATGATGTCCCAAGAACAACCTTTTAGTACAACTGCACACACTGTTTTCACTAAGTGCGCTTCGTTTGTAAAACATCTTAAATTGGCCATCAAGGAGAAGACAGATGAACCCTAATTCTAGGGCCAATTGTTTTCATTTGCTTTGAATTTGATTGTGTTATTCACCTGGCACAAATAGGTGGAGCACATGAACAAATTGGCTCGACTAAAATAAAATCCAAGGAGTGATTAATACATCAACAATAAACAATACCCGAACTTATCAAAACACTTTGTTCTTATTTTCGCAATCCTTGCCTGATATACATTTGAATCTAGAAGAGAGAAGAAAATTTGGGAAATCGTCGAAAGTGGGCGTTCAGCCCCCAATTCACTTTTATGTCCACCTTCTTCTAAACCACGTTTTTTCTGATTAGCCCAAAATTACAAACCTTCTACAATTGATTTTTATTTTGGGTAATATATTTTTAAAATTTTTATTTTAGTATTTAAGATATAAAGTTTTAAACATTTAAGTATTTGAACAATCCGATTATCTTACTGATGTGATGAATGATATGGTGTCTAACTCAGTATTATTTGTTATTCAACTAAATTTTATCTCATCACTTACGACATCATAATGGTAATCAGTTAATGTTTCAATAAGTTACCCGAATACTTAAATATTTAAAATTTTACATCTTAGATATCAAAATAAAAATTTTAAACTTACATTATATATAAATCTTATAAATATATGATACTTTTAAATAAATCTTAATATATCATACCTTTCTTCTTCTATATCTATTTTAATAAATTTTATTTTATTCTTATCATAGAATAAAAAGTGAAAATAATAATATAAAAAATTTAGAGAAAACTTACGAATTACAATTTGTCTTATATTAATTGGAAATTGACAAAAAGATCTTAATATGATAAAACTTAATATAGACATAATATGGGGATGGAAATAGAATAAAAATATATATTCGTTTTGATATGATGTAGTTAGGGGTGTACAAAAAACCGCCAACCTGTAAAACCCGTTCAACCACTAATTAGAAGGGTTGAAAGTAGGTTAGCATAACTCAACCCGATCCAAACCGTCAACCTGCCGCTAATATATATTATTTTTATAAAATTATGTGTGTGTGTGTGTGTATATATATATATATATATATGATATTTACAATCCAAAAATATGTATATTTTTTAGTCTGATGCATAATCCAAAAATTAAAATACATGTATCATTTGTCCAATTTATAGTCCAAACTTAATCCAAGTCCAACTATTGTCTAGTCAAGTCCAATACGACCAGTACTCCAATTCAATTCACTGATTCGGTTTTCAACTTCACGTTCTCCTATCGTGTACTCGTTTAGCGTCCCCAATCTGCAAATCGTGACTGCCGAGTGCCAGCCGAACTGTGGTTATTGGCTTGATGTTGATCAGACCTGGTTGTTAACTTCACACAAAGTTGGTTGAAAGAAAATAATAAGGGGATTCAAATATGTAAATTTTTGGATGAAATTGTATCTTATGACTTTATTGAAAAAAGTAAACTTAACGCTAGTTCTTTTTTCATGCTTATATATTCTTAATAAATGGTTTAATATTCTTTTTGAGTTGTAGACAAACTCAAGAAGAATGCAACATCGGAGTTGGGAAGGTCCAAGACGGTCGTACTTGATTGAGGATTTGAATAAGATGTTATCATTAAAACTTTGAAATTTGATTCCAAAACTTTTTGGATGATTGTAATAACTAACGACCTTGTTGGGTATATTTTAGTATTATTTATCATATTTCATTTGCCAACTTTATGAATTTTAGTAACTCGTCAACCCGACCCAACCCGTTGTAACATGTCCTGTTGGGTTGGGTTATACTTTTGAATGGATTGAACTGGATTGAGATTTATCAAACCGTCATAATTAGGTTGGATTGTAAAAATGTCAAAAACCATCACACCCAACCCGCATACACCCCTGGATGTAATGGACCTATTTTATTCAAATAGTCATTTGACCAAAGTGATTTCGCATTTTAGTCGCTTTAGGAACCATTTTCTTCAAATAGTCAAAGTCTAAATTTAGATTTTATGCAGAGGGTGGTTTTTGCGTGAAGTGTATTAAAAGAAAATTCTGTAGGCAAAAGAAGGTTTTTTCGTAAAGATTTCACTTTAGTAAAAAATTTGCATTTTACATCATTATAGTTAGTTATTTAATTTACTTTATATCACTTACTTTTTTTATTTTTTATTTTTAATTTTACATCTTTATTATATTAACGCACATATTCATATATTAACTAAAATACATAGAGAAAATATGTTTATGTTTTATAATTTATAGCATTATAATTGTCTCGTCAATACGTTCAAAATGAGCTTAATATTGGATATTTTTAGATTTAATCTTATATTATTAAATATTATAAAACTTACTAATTATTTTTAATACTTACATTTTATATTCTTGTAGTTACAGATTAAATAAATAATCATAAGGATATAAATTGTAAGTTTTAAAAATGATTCGTATGTATGTATGATTATTAATAATATAACATTAAATCCAAAATATTTAATATTAGTCTCATTTTGAATATTGGCAAGACGATTATAATGATGTAATTTTTTCATGTATTTCAGTTAATATATAATTATATGTGTTAATATAATAGAGATGTAAAATAAAAAAAATAAAAAATAAGAATATAAAAAAATTAAATAACTAACTATAAGAGTGTAAAATGTAACTGGCAAAAATATTTTGTGCCTAAAGATTTTTCTTTTTTCTTAATTTTTTTCATTTAGTGTAATAATATATATTTTTTTAAAAATTGCCTGAAAATACACTTACCCTGCGTTTGGTTTGCAGGAATGTTTTTGAGGGATTTGGATTCCCATGAGGGATTTGGATTCCATGGGATTTGGATTTAAAATCCATCATGTGTTTGGTTTGCAGGATTGGATTTGAAGCATTTAACCTAATTTGTCAAAATTGAAGCATTTAACCTAATCTGTCAAAGTTGAAGCATTTAACCTGATCTATGTTCATGTATACTCAACCTAATCTTTCAAAATTGAAGCATTTAACCTAATTTGTGTTCATAGTGTAGAGATAAATCGAAAAGGGGAAAAGGGGAAAAGGGATTTACCTGGAAGGGCGATGCGACGGTGAGCAAAGGAGATGAAGGGCGACGCGACGGTGAGAAACGGAGACGAAGGGGGACGCGACGGCAACGGAGACAAAGGGTGACGGCGGTGGCAACGGAGACGAAGGGCGACGCGACGGTGAGCAACGGAGACGAAGAGCGACGGCGACGGCAACGAAGACGAAGGGCGACGGCGGCGGTGAGCAACGGAGACGAAGGGCAACGGAGGAGACAGCGATGAAGGTAGAAATCGATACCAATGGAGGAGACAGCGATGAGTCGGGCAAGCGATGAAGGATTTCAAAATCCTATGTATTTTCAAAGGATTCTCAAATCCAGTGTTGGTGGGATTTCAAGTGAATCCCAGGATTTGAAATCCTATCATTCCTACAAACCAAACATGGGATTGGAATGGATTTCAAATCCAAATCCCTCCAAATCCCTTCAAATCCAGCAAACCAAACACGCCATTAGAATCCACCCTTTTACGTAAAAATTTAAATGTAAGCCTTAGTTATTTGAGAAAAATAATCCATAAAATGATTAAAAAGTAAAATCAATTTAATCAAATTGTTATTTATGTAAAATAAATTGTCTATATGATAAATGGGACGTGCTAAAAAGCGAATGAATAAGGCTCATAAATTCAAAATAACAATCGATCAGTGGATTAAATTTATTATGTAAAGTGATTTAAAGGTGTTTGACGAGCATTTTAAATATAACCATCGTAAATGTGATTATGGGAACAATTAGAATCAGATCATGAGTTGATTAGATTTATAAAATGTTAGTAGTTTAACATTATCTCAAGAATTAGCTTTCTCGAACAACTTTTTTTTAACTATAAGGGTCCTGGCGTAACGTCCAAGAATTTCAATGTTTGAATTGAAGGTTCATACTGTCAGACTTATTTGATCTTATCAATTCTTATAATTTTTCTCGAATAAATCATGAATTTTTTCGGATAGTATTAAAGATCTTATCGAAAACTTACAGCAGTTTGCCAAACAAAGGCTAAAAGAAAAAAGAACAAGGGTATTACTGGCTTAACATCTACAATTGGATTCAAAAAGCGTAGGTTTCCGGCAATTTGGCGAAGAAAAGACTACTCGGATAAAGGACAGAATTAAGACAGATCAAACTAAAGATATTAAGCATAACAGACATTTTATCTGAGGGAGTTCGATTCCAGACGTACACAATAATTGTAGTCACTACTGAGAATTCGTGGAGATTAGTCTAGGTATAGTTTGGTACACCTAATATAATATTAATATTATAATGAATGAGTAGGTAATTATCCAAACTCTGGAGAAATCATAAAAAGAGGTATAAGTCGATGCATTTTTCAATTAGCTCAAAATCATATCGCCTTTTTTTTACAAAATCATGGAACAAAAAGGCAACAAACAGAAGACAAAAAAGGACCAGAAATAGTAAATATACCAAATTCACTCACCCAGATGCACAGACCATCTGGGTGCCTTCATCAACACCACAACCACACTAGACAGAAACCATCTCACTTCTCATTGCCAACCGCCTTCTCTTCCCTTCCCTTCACTCATCCTCAGTCTCAGTTTCAGTTTCACTCCAACAGTTTCGCAGAATTGACCGCGGAGACCCGCAACAACTTCCTCCCCTTGAAAACCCATGGTACACCATCGAACCCCCTCGTCCACCCTCAAGAACTCCAAAGTTCGATTCTTCGACACCGTACCCTTTCACAATCGGATGATTTCTTTCATCCAAGTTAACATCTTTCAAGTCATTTCCATGCAAAGCTACAGAGAACTCACTAGGCTCAAAGCAAGCCAACACCCTTTCAATCAAAGCACCCAAATCCATGGTTTTCAAGTCGTAACCCACTGCTTCAAAGCTCGCGTAACTGAACCCATCTTCTGGTGTCACGTGAATGGTAGAGATCGCCTCCCCTTCTATAGCATTCATAGAATACCCACATGGGTCAAAATCAAAATCACATATCTCCGATTCTGGAAGGATCTTCCTAATCCCTGAATCTTCAGTCATCACAGCTGCAGAGCTTGACTTAGACTTGAAAAATACCGATGCCTTCTTCTTGTTTAAACCAGTCATGCACATCTCTAGAGTGTAAACTGGTGCAGCAGGGATTGCGGCTTCGGCTGAAGCAGAGTAGACGTGCCATTTCTGATTTTTGTCAATGCCGCCCATGACATATGCTTCGCTCCCCATGCCAAGCTTTCCAAAGTGGCTATCAAGGACCATTACTTCTTCAGTGAAGCTACGGTGAGGATAAACCTGAGCGCCAGGAAATATGAAGCTTCCACGAGTATACCTTACAGATTTGACACTAAGGGACAGTTCACCAGATAATTTCAGTATAGGTGGGATCGAGAGAAGTAGCTTTGTGGTGCCACAGGTTTTGATGATGATCTTATAGGGATAAACAAAGAGGCTGGATTCCGAAAGAACATAAGAATCCAGTGAATCGTTGGACAGCGAAGAAACTATGGTGCACTCAGCCGGTGCCAGAATTTCATCAAGTTGGTCCTTGGTCAAAGAACGCAGGCATCTGCCTCCAGGATAAGCAGAGTCATCATTGTCGGAAAAAGAAATCTCTAGCCTCTTTTCAAAGCCTTCAAATCCAATGGCAGATACCATCGATGCCATCTTGCCTTGGAAAGTTTTGTTGCAAAGAGAGGAAATGAAGAACAAGGGGGTAGGAATAAAGAAAAGACTGTAGCAAAATAATAGAACCGAACACTTCTATCTAGGGGTTATGGAGCACGGATGCAAGAACTCAGGACGGCTTGCGGGTGCACTGCAAGATGGAAAACAGGAAACCCCATAGAATCATCAGTGAGAATGCAACAAGAAGTTGTAATAATCAAATCAAATGTACCATAATGGAGACCAAAACTCACGTTAGAGTAAACAGCAGATTTGAACTTCTTGAGCCCTCCGTTTGGTCGAACGTCTTCGATCCCGTAACCTAGGGGAGCTTCGTAAATAAACGATTTACTACCAGACTTCTTGCCAGCTTTTGACTCCATTAGATCATTCAGTTGTCCTGCATATACCGTGGAACATAGATAAGAATCAATTTCAACGTAGTTCATACCGAGAAAACTTGCAGATAAACTAGAAACCTACAAAAGTATATGCCTACCCAAATGTTGCATTTACATTTTTTATGGAATGGATGGACTGCAAATAGGGAACCAAAAGAATATGACCATGAAATGCATCAAAATCAAAATTGAGAAAGACTCTTCTCAAATGATTACTTTATACCAAACCCTTTCGCCTTTTTGATTCGATCAATCGATTTCGTGAGACAAAATCAAAAAACACCAGTATATGAACTTTTGAAACGATAGCAAATAACAGTAGCAAAGAAAGACTATCAACATTATATCATTTATAACAGGTCATCGTCTACAGAAAACAACCAACTCGAATAATGTAAATCACAAAACACAATCAAAGAAAAGAAGAAAAACTTACGGATGAAAAACAAATCAAAGAATTAAGAGATCCGCAATGCGAACGGCCCAAATGGATCAAAAGCCTGAAACAAATCATCACAAGAACAAGAAAGGTTAGAAATGCAAAAATAAAAGGATAAACGAAGAAGAGAATGGGAGGAAGAAGAACAAACATACCGACGAATTGATGTTATTGAATCGAGTAGATCAGAGAATATGAATGGATCGAATTAGAACCCTAGAATGTGGAACCAATCGATCGAGTAAATCAGTTAGGCGAAGGTGTAGATTTATATAAGGAGAGGGTTACAGAACTTGTGGGTGGCAATGAATCCAGGGCAACGGAGGAACGAACGGCCCTAGAAGAATGCTCTACTGACACGTGTGTTTTTGGGAATGTGAAATGACGATTTTGTCCTCCCTCAAAGATTGAAGTGTCCTTTGATTTCTGCCGCTGTGGCCCGCTCTTTGTGGAGCGTCTCTTATTATTTCTCAATAATTTCACTTTTAGACGTATTTTTTATTTAATTATTATTTTTATTAATAGAAAATCATACAAGTAGTCGGTCAATTTTCAGTTACATTCACATGTGATTCTAAAGTAAAAATAACATGTGATACTACAACACGTCCATTTTGAATATAGACGATTGGCTGGTCAATGAGATTTAGGTGTCGTTTACTAAATATTTACCCGGGTAAACGTTTACCAAGTCACTTTACTTTACCGGATGAATATGGCAAGGACAAAAAATCTTACCTAATAAGAGCGAAGGCAAAAATCGAGAGTCTTACCCGGTAAGTGAAGACGATGACTCTTACCATTGTTAGCGCTTACCGGGATAAATTGTTGCATACAATGCGTTTTAGTGAATCAAATCTTATCTGGTAAATAAGCAATAGTGTTGAATTTTACTGGTAAATGCTTACTGGGTAAGTGTTTAAGTAACGATCCCTTAGTGAAAACCCGTCCGCGTTATGGCTAGCCAACATCGATGTGTTTGTATCACATCTAATTTGAGTTATTTTGTCTTTCTCATAAATTGACTGTCTTTTTTATATTATAATATTTATTTACAAAAAACAGAACAAATAAACTCAGAATCATAATATGTATGCTTAAATCATTAACTTGTTAAGAAGTCAAAGTTTTAATAGCGTTAAAGTAAAGGGTGTTTGATTAAGGTGGTGGGTGAGAAAGTGATATGTACCGATTCGTTGGTCTTCTTGTGATCACATGCATTCGAGGTTTGAGAAATTGGTGTGGAGGATTCTGATTTTATCATCAAAATTACAATCTTTTTTCTGTTTAAAGTTGGTGATCGACAATGACTCAAATTTTTGATTTTTACTGTTTTTATTATTATTTATTTATTTATTATTATTATTATTATTTTGGTTTGTTTTAAAATAAGTATCTATTTTCAAAAGTAAATATTTATCTTTTTTTTATTTTACTAGAAGGGTAGTCGGGAAATGTAACGAGATTTATCTTGATTTTAATGTTTCGTTTTATTACGTCTCTATAAATGTTTTAATACAATGTTTATGTGATTTTGAGAAAAGAATAATGTTTTAAATTTTAAATAAACTATAAATTTAAAGATATCATAAAATTTTTAAAATAAATATATTAATTTAATTATTTAAGAGTTCTTGTTTTTTTGTGTAATTCCTTTAATTCAATTTTTTTGTTATAATTTAATTTAGATTTAATGACGGAATAATTTGTTTTTTATTTAATAACAATTTTTTTATAAGGACAATAATTAAGTATTATGTTAGAACTAAATGATTATCCTAATTATATTTTAAATTTTTTATACTTAAAATGAAATATTTATTATGTATTTAATTATATTTATCTGCAATTAGTTACACGAATTCAAGAATGGAGCTTTAATAAGTTGTACTTGTGTACAATTTATTTGTAATTGTGAATTTTAAGTAATATGCATCAATAAACAGTATTTCATGTATAAAAAATGATTTTTAAGAGTCTTTGTCAAATGTATTATAATATAGTATAGATTATTGGTTATAAGATGGATAATATTTTTATCTCTATGATTAAAGATAAAATTGTTTTTTCATTAATTAAAAAATATAATAATTATAAATTCCTAAAATTATATGTGTGAACATTTATTTTAAGACGAAAAGAGTATTATCTATACTATATTATAAAGCATTTGACAAAAACTATTAAAATCATTTTTTATGCGTAAAGTACTGTTTATTAATGCATATTACTTAAAACTCAAGATTACAAGTAGATTGTACGTAAGTACAACTTATTAAAGTTTTATATGAAAAAGTAACGTATTTTAACTTGATTCATATTTTAGATAACGTACTTTTAAAACTTTCATTTTGGTATCTAAGATGTAAAGTTTTTAAACGAAGTGATGTGGTATCCGGTTAATGTTTCAGCAAATAATATTGAGTTGGATACCACATCACTCGCATGGTAACCGGTTAATACTTCAACCGGTTATCCGGGTGCTTAAATGCTTAAAACTTTACATCTTAGATACCAAAACAAAAGTTGTAAAAGTACGTTACCCAAAGTATAAATCAAGTTAAAATATGTTATTTTTTCATGCAATTTACCCTTTTCAAATTAAGAAAGTTTGATTTATTTACGATAATAGAAAATTAATAAATGAAACAAAGTTTTGAAATTTTGTATATGATGTAATAACATAACAAATAGTTGTTTGTTACTGCAATATATATTGGTTACCGATCTAAATATATAAAATATAAGAAAATTTAAACAAATGTTACAATAATTGAAAATTTTGTTACATTAAATAAGAATTAAATCAAACTTTGTTACATTTTGGTATATTTTTACCTAAAAATTAACCTCAAAACATAAAAAAAAATTCAAAATGTAACATTTTTTGTGTTTTTCTTCAAGCTAATGTTTAAAAAACTTCGAACAAATAACATCACATTATTAAACTTTGATGAGATTCATATATGAATTGGAAAGTTGGAACAAACAATCAAAACATAGGAGGTTAGAAGATGAATCTACATCTATGTCATCCAAGATCACAGATTTCTGAAACTTCACTTATGAATAATATCCTCTAAAGATCAAAGATTTCTGAAATATCACTTATGAATAATATCCTCTGAAGATCAAAGATTTCTGACACTTCACTATGAATAATATCTTCCAAAGATCAAAGATTTCTGAAAATTCACTTATGAATAATATCCTCCAAAGATCAAAGATTTCTGAAAATTCACTTATGAATAATATCCTCTAAAGATCAATGATTTCTGAAGCTTCACTTGCAAACATGAAGCCATATCACCAATATTAAAGATTTCTGAAACTACACTTGTAAAAACCATTTCAAGATTCTTAATGCCCGATCGATTAAAAAACTTGTGTAACGATGATCCATTGGAAGAATCGAAATTCTGGGTATTTACAAAGAAAAATTTTCCTACTCACGCAGTCCGCCGTGCCTGTTTTTGCTTTACCTGGGATTCTGCCACCTTCCCATTTTTCTTTTCATACTCCTGCTTAAGTTCCTCCAATCGCTTCGATACCTTAAAACATGACAAATAAGAGAAAACGTGACCCAACACCAAATTATAGAAAACAAGCCGATCACCCCACAAATTTGAAGTAGGAATCTCTAAAATCTTGTATGATAAGGAGCAATAAGCATCAATTATTTCTTAAGTTCACAAATGAAGAAGCAAAAGATGCTAGTTCAAACATTAGCCAACTTTTTCATCCCGAATCTTTTTAACCTTTTCAAAAATCTCAACACTAAAAACAAAATTCTAATTGGGGTTTTTTCTTTCGTGTTCATCAACAATTCTTTGTGTGTGTGAGAGCACAAATGATTGTAACAAAGAGAGGGGGTTACCTTAAATGAGTAGGCCATTGGAAGCAATATATCTGGATTCATTGCATCATCAGGGAAGTTACGAAGAAAATGTATAAGTTTCTCAAACGGTAATTTTACCTACAAACAGCACCATCTTTAGCATAAATAAGATACAATTTTACTGCTTAGCAAGACAAGGATCACAACCAACTCACCAAGTCATCATGGCAATATTTCAGCAGAGCCAAGCCAACTTTAAACACAATCTTCACACCCTGAACATATGAAAGCCAGTCATTATATATGCAAAATTCTTTTACCTTCTGTCCATTTTATATATATATTTCCATAAACAAATCACGTATAATCTTTCTGCATGCAGGCAGGCAGATCTTCATGATTCCTGTATGCCACTAACCTCGTACAGAAAAACATCCCATATTCGAAGGGCCAGATGGAAAGGGAAAGAATAGGAGAAAACGGTAATAAACCACTGGCTTGCATACATGCTTGGGTTTATCATTTCTTGTGTGAAATGCTCGCCTATCTTTGGCAGGTACTCCCTCATAAGATGATCAAACTGAAACATGTATTGTTGAACAAGAGGCAATCCCTCCTGCACACGATACCACTAATTTAAATTCCACGAAAACTACAAGTATACCAAAAGAGAACAACAAAGAATATATAAACAAGCAGGTATTTAAAACCGTCATTTATTTAACAATATCTTGTTTGACTTTTGCAGGATACCTTCTGTTTCTTTCCCTTCAGTTTTTCCTTTAATTTGACAAGGTTAATACAGTATCTTCTTTGTAGTACAAATAGGATTTATGTCCTTATAAGTTCTATCTTAGGTTTTTAATTCCAGTTTATCAATAAGAACAACACTAATGATTAGTAGGTCCCCAATGATTAAGAGCGAACTCAAGTTCATATATCAAGTCAACACAACATGAACAAAGAAAATGGAATGTTCATCGATACAAGCATAAAGATTCCACAAAGTCATGAAAAAATATGTAACAGCATTCTGCAAGAACTGAAAAGGTTTACAAACAGACAAGAAATTTAAGGTTCACATTAACCATTAATGCATGAAGTGCAGAACAAGATGTTTTAGGTATAGCAAAAGTTACCAAATATAATCCTTCCATAGGAGCATGGACAGCTCCTTTCAGTAATGCCACCAACAGCCAAAATGCATCTTCTTCACTCATGTAAAGCAGCAAGAGACCAGCTAAAAATCCCATTCCCTGAAGTTGAAACCATTTTGATACAGGTGAGTGATGTCACAAGTGGCTAGAGATGCAATGTGTATCAATATATACTTATATATATATATATATATACCTGTACATATCCAACCTCTCTGTCATATACAGAGTACGCCTTCAAAACATTGTAAAGGGATCTCTGACCAGGCCCATGCCGTTGCTGGTAGAATACATGTGAAGGAAAAGTGCGAGATATATCCCGTATTATATCTAACTCAGAAGCTGATGTCTCGTATATAACTAGTTGCTGCAACAAAAGTAATTGTCAGTAGAAGATTTAGACCAACTGGAAGTAATTAAGAGATGGTAAAACTTCAGCTGGAATAAATATTCATCCTTCTAGCACTAAAACCTCAAAATACCAGTTTGAGGAAATCAAGTATTTTTCAGTAAGTAGAGCTAAAACATGGTAATTGTTTTATTTGTCTGAATTTCTGAATTTCATATTATAGGCATTTCTTGAATTTTTGCCAAACCTGCCAAAAGTACCATTGTTCTTTTTAAAATAACTCATTGTGTGCCTAGTAGAATATGCAGCCTCAATGATCCCAAAAAGAAGAACAATAGTTTGATTGGCATCATAATGTCCATACAATCATGAGTAAGTAGACTAGATTTGATTTATGTGCATACGATTTTATTCACCGTTATCATAGAAGATATGAAACCAATAGGTTATTTTAAAAAGAACAATGGTACTTTTATATGAAAAATATATGAAGATTAGAACCAGAATACCTCATAAACACCAGGGTTCATCAGCAATAGATCCCGGCTTCCAGAAATCAATTGCCAAACAAGACCCCTCAAACAATCAGGGACTCCTTTACGGATTCGCCTTTTAACAACGTGTGGTTTCCTCCTTACATAATGCTTCCAATCACTACCTCCAACACCAATCATTTTCCGCCATTTTCTTAGCCTTCTCTCTTCCCTGTAAATTGCCTCGTTGATTTAATTAGACGATATAGGTTAAAAGAACGTTACTATCTATTCTTAAGTAGAAAATAGGATGAATGACTTCAGGAAGACAAGGAACATATCACTGGAACTCCTCCCTCTCCCAAATAAATAGATCCAGATTAATTTTAGAGGACAACATCACTTTCAACTTCAAAATTACGAGAAAATATACATAAATTATGTCAATAATGAATTCAATGAGCTTTAAGGTTGACCTTTGAGTCACATTTTATCTATATGTTCTAAATGGAGCAAGTGTTGTGTGATTACAACAGCTTTTTTCTTGAAAATTTCCACACAAGATTGCGTGACACTGAAACTGAATCATGAAACGATCAAATAGGCCCAATGGAATCAATAATCGGTAAACCAATTTGATCTATTTCAAATCATCTGTTAGAACATAAACCTGCATTACCTCTGATACTCGAAAGCCGACTTGCTCTTGACTAGCCGATCAGGGGAGTTATGTTCCTGTTTAGCGAACCCGAATCTGTCTATTCTTGGTGGAGCTGGCACTTGCACACTCTCATCCACTCTTCTCTTCTCCATCTCCTAACTTAAAGAGCACCACCACAACTCCATTTCCCTAATTCAGTGGATGCCCTAATCACACACAAAAACTTAGAGATATTAAATCAATTCTCACAAATCCTACGATATCATTAGTCTTTATTATGACAACCGATCAAAGTTGTCGAGAACATTGGTGACAGCAAATATCATCTGTACCCAAAATAATAATCATACAGAAAGAGACGCAAATGATACGCCTCTTGAGTGAATTGAAAAGAAAAAGAAAAAACCCACAAATTACTCGAGAGAAATCTGAAAGGGTATCGAACATTTGGTTTTTTCGATAAACTACGTTAAAATGAAGACAAAAACTCACAAATTCGCGGAGGGAATAGTGAAAGGTATCGAAGCATTTGGTTCAGTTTTTGACAAAATATGCTGAAAATTTTGGGGACAAGAACGGAAATTAGATTCCATACCTGGGTGATCTGCGGAGTTCTTCCCCAATCTGACGATTTCTGTAAAAAACGAATTTTGTTAATAAATACTGGGGAGAATGAGTTGGAGTTCGATTGGGTGGGTTATTTTGTTCCGACGACGGTAGGTTGACGGAAGTGGGTGTGGGTCGAGACAGGGGATCCTTCTTCCAATCTCGTCCGTTCATTTTCAATTGTCTAAAATAAATATTTTGGATAATAAAAGAAAATTTAATTAAAATAACTATTTTTTTATTTATAGTGAGTTTCATCTTTTATGGTGGGTTTTATCTTTAACCATTTCTTTAGAAAAGAAATAATAAAAATAGTCATAGATTTATAATTGATAGTCTCTAATTTATGAAGGGATTTAAAATTTGAACTAGATTTACAATTATAGAGACCAAATATGTAAATTAGTTTTAGGTGTGCAAAAATATGTCCACAATTGCTATGTGTTTTTCCAAATTAACATATTTGGTCTCCGTAATTGCACACTTGGTTCAAAAACTTCATTTTATCTTACATTTTGACTAATTCGTAAATTATGGATCTATCAATCGCAGACCTATGGCTATTTTCGTTATTTTGGAAGAGAAATAGCTAACATGTGAAACCATGCGATCAAAATGGCTATTTTAGTTAATTTATCTAATAAAAATAAGTGTTAAATGATATATAATTATTTGATGAATTTTATGAATGACAAAAGAAAGTTATGAATTATTAGAAACTAGAAGGGTACTCACGCAATGCAGCAAGATATATCTTGATTTTAATATTTCATTTTATTCTTCATCTCAGTCGATGTTATAATATGGTCTTATGTGATTTTGAGAAAGCTTTTATTTTTGTATAAAATATAAATTTGAAGATATCATAAAAATTTAACAAAAATATATCGATATTAGTATCAAATTAATTATTTAACATTCCTCAGTTTTTGTGTAATTTTTTAATTCAATCTTTTATTATAATTTAATTTAAGTTCAATAACGAAGTTATTTATATTTGATTTAATAATATAATTTTCTTATAAAGATAATAATTAATTATTGGGAAAAGTTTAAAAAAAACCCAATGAACTTTAGTGTTTGGAATGATTAAGTCTTTGGACAGTTTTTTGGAACAAATAAGTCATTCGACATTCCAAAACATGTTAAATAACTCATTGGACAATTTTTTGGAACAAATAAGTACTTGGACAATTTAAAACATGTTAAATAACTCATTGAACAATTTTTTGAACAAATAAATCCTTGGACAATCCAAAACATGTTACATAACTCCTTGGACTTTTCTAAAACATGTTGGATACATTCTTATGACTTGTACAAMTAGTTAAAGTGGTAAAATAGTGAAAAAAGTCCCGAAAAAAACCTCAATGAACATTCATATTTTGAACGATTAAGTTCATAAATATTTTTTGAACCAAAAAATATTTATATCTATAAAAATTAAACAAATATAACAAAAAAGTACTTATATTTACAAAAAAATAATTACATTTAAAAAATATTTTTGATAAAATTTATTTTAATTAA